CTGCGGTGTAAATTCCAGTGCAGCGTATTTGCCGGAGTTATCCTACATAATTTTGTGATAATTTAAGATTGTTTTCTAATAAATTAAAAAACAATCATGACTGTTATATTCTTATTACTATTATCTATATAGATAAATCAGTTCATCCTAAAAAATAAGTAATAAGTAAAATAAAAATCAACTAAAAGGGGATAAACAGCCAATTAAAAGCCTACACGGTTCTTGATGCGCAAAATTATTTATTTACTTATTGAAAATAATACGTTTCAACCGACGTTTTCGGTTCTTCTCAATGCGAAATTAATTAATTAAATAATAAATTATATATTCTGTAAATTACAGAATATATAATATTTAAGTCACAAATTAAAATACAAAAGTACGAAACGTCTGGGATCATATCATCTTGTTACTGCAATGGAGTGGTTACAAAAGTGAAACACAAGTCTAGATGTGACAGTGATCAGTTGATAACCAATGTTCATCACCTTGTCCTGATAAAATAATGATTGAAGCTGACAAGAGACGATCCATCTCAGTTTGTATAACAAATTAGTAAAAATCCTTGATATCAGTAAAAGCAGTGATAGCATAAAATGTAAATTAAGAAAAAAGGCAAGACTGTATAGGTTGAACAAGAAATTTAATGCTAATGCCGACGTGGTGGTAACTTTCAAATGCAATAACTCGGAAAGTTCTTATGAAGAAAAGGTTTGTAACCAGTGTTCTGGAAACATCAGCTCAACGTCAACTATAAAAATATGCTATGAAAAATAGGGAGTTCTGTTTAAGATTTTTAGATTTTTGACCTTGAAGGCACTTTCCAATTCTATCCAATTCTATCTAATTTTAAGGTCCAATTAATATTATCATCTAACAACTTTTTTAAACTCTATTATCTATTTGTTTCAAACATTTTTTACATAAATCAATATTTTTTTAGATATTAGCCATTTCTACTTTTATGCATTATAATATCAAATTTCTTGGAACTTACGATCTATAATCTTGCCTTTTTTCTTAATTTATCTTATGCTGTCAACTTTGATATCAAAAATTTTCACTAATTTGTGCAAACAAGAGATGGTCCCTTGTAATGTCCAATAAATTATGAGTCAAAGTAAAAACCGAAGCAGTGAAATTAATTGTGTCTATATCTTATGAACGTTGAAACTGTAATTACACAACCACTGACCACTGTCATCTGGATTTGCGTTTCACTTTGTAATTACTGACTTCATTGCGGTAACAAAATGATCCCAGATATATGTTTCGTACTTTTGTATGTTAATATGTTAATATGTTTATTTTTGTATATTTGTGACAAATTAATTAACATAAACATTATGTATTTCGTAATTTATAGTGTATAATTTATTATTTAATTTCGGAAAGATAAAGAGCATACACCACGAACGCCAGATATCGTTAGCGATTGATTATATTTGATTACAATACATTATAATCTAATTCCACATAATTAAATATATAATATTACAATATTTAATTAATTAATGTTTTCGCATTAATCGAAAGACCGAAAAGATCGGTTGAAACGTATGCGAATTATTTTCGATGAACAAATAAATAACTTTACGCACGAAAAACTCTTAATTGGTTTTTTTATTCTTTTTTAGTTGATTTATTCTCAGAACCCTATATATTTTTAAGTTATACTTATTTCTAATTATATCTAATTATTTCTAATTATATTAGAAAATAAAAATCGTACTTATATTATAATAAGAAGTCGATTAAAATAATTAACTCGTTACAAACTCGTTATATTGGAATAATTTATATCACAAATAAAAATCATTGAGTAAACTTTACGTATTTTTCAATTGGATAATACTTGATGTATATGTTTCAATAGATTAGGTTTTGGTGAAACCATCGAAGGTGAAAAAGATCCTGAAGATGAGGTGAATGAGTACCTGATGAGAGCAATAGATGCTAGAAGTATAGATCGATTAAGAGCGGAGCATTGTACGCCATTTATATTAACGTTTCGAAGACCGGATGTCGAAGAAAAGGTAACAAGTTACATTACAAGATAAATAATATACTTAAAAATAAAATATGCATAAATGTTCATATATATATATATATGTATTTA